GTATGATTGTTTAACTGTATGTTGTACATATTAAACATGTTTAATAATGCTTTTATGTTATTTAAAATAAATAAAATCTTTTACTGTTTACATTGGTAATAAATCCCAGCAAAGTTTTTTTATTTTATTATTACTTGGAAGAAATAAAAAATAAAACAATTTGAATTTAATTCTGCTGTGCAATTTCTAAAATAAATGATGAATAAAATTTAAAATTTTTCTCCAATATTGTTATTTCTGCTCTTTATTGGTTCAATGCAAGTAATACAAGTAATTCAAATTCTTTAGTAAAAGTAGCTCATTAAGCTTCTAAATATTACAATCAACAAATTGTTTTTGGTGTCAGTTTTTTGTGGTTTTAGTAGATTTTTGTATTTTAATTAACTGCTTTTCATACTCTTATTTGGACTCCTAAAAACTTTACACTAGTAAAAATTAAAAACTTAACGCTAATGTGAATTATTTTACACTTTTAAATTCAATTCTAAAGTTTTTATTTTATACTAACTGTAAGCAACCTGTAATACGATTTGTTAGTAATTAAATCATTAATAACTTGATATACTTTCTAAAAAATATAATTAAGTGCAAATTTATTTATAAATACTCATTTTAGTTCTGCTCCTTTTTTGCAATGTCTTTTAGTTGACAACTTAAAAAGACTACTAAACATCAATTAAGTTCTTTTTAAAATCAGTTATAAAAAAGCAGGTACCAGAGATGGAAGGCCAAATAAATCCTGCCAATACTTAAAAAATTAAATGTAAAACAAAATTATAATTTTAAATTTCACAATGCAAGTTAACAGTTTTTTTAAAACATGAAAAAACACAATGCAATAATTACAAACTATAACTTAATATAAATGGATAATCATTTAAAAAAATAGCTATAACAGCTCAACACAATACACAACAAAAACAAATAAGATATTTGTAGGCACCCATTACATTTTGCTAAATATTACAAAAGAAATTAAATATTGCTAAAGGCATTACTATCTCCAGAATAAATAATTAAAGCAATACAACACGACCTAATAACAACACTTGCCGCTGCCGATTAATTCCACAACTTAGTAAGATATTTTATTAATTAAACTACTTGAAACAATTTGAACAATTATATTATATAATTATAAAAACATAACAGCTTAGTAACTACTTAGAGGGTTCCATTAATGCTTCCTTTATTAATAAATCCTCATTTGAAAAAGTGAGAGATAGAGAGGCAGACAACATTTCCAGGGCACTGTGTTAAAAAAGTAAAAACGACATACAAAAAATATTAATGTGCATAAAAAAAATTTATTATTACTGTCAATGATTTATTACTGATGAACAAAATTAATCATAAAAACTAGTTTTGTAATGTTGTAATGTTTTACTTTAATTACTGTTGTAATGTTTTACTTTAATGTTTTACTTTAATTATATAGAATAACAGTTTCTCCCTAACTGTTGATTAATGATTAATACAGTAAGTTTCACATATAAATTTACTAATAGTCCAGTCAAATTAGGTTTTCACCTTGAAAAAATTAGGAGCAAGCTAAAAATTGCTGTAAATGTTCTGTGTGCACTCCTGATTCATATTAGAAAAATCGGCTAAAATTGCAGTGGAGCTTTATCTGAAATCCAAGATGGCATCCAATCGGCATCCAAATTACAGTTTGTAATATCTGAGTTTGTAGATCACTTAAAAACATGATTTTTGTGTCTACTATTTTGTTTATGAGGTTGAGAAAATAATTTCTGACCTTTTTAATTTTATGAAAAAACATGTTTGTCAAAATCCAAGATGGCAGCCAAAACAGCTTCAAAATTGAAATGTTCAATATCTCAGCTTGTTGATCAAACTGAAATTTTTGCATCGAGTGTTATGTTTTTCAGGTAAAGTACTTTATAAGTCATTGAGGAAACAAAGATGTAGTATGCCGACAATGAATTTTCAATAAATAATTTGTACATATCGTATACAAAGTATACTTTGTTTTAACGAGAGTTGTATACAATTTTGTTTTGACAAGATTTGTATACAATAACTAGCAATTGTTCGTAGTAAACCTACTTGTATAACAGTCTTTAAGAAATTTGCTTGGAAGAAAATGCTATTGTGTAAACAAATATTAAATGAAGAAATCAGAAACTATATCACATCATATTTTGAACAATAGCTTAACTACACATTTTTCAAAATGTAACCACTTGTGTAATTGTCATAATCTTTATCTTCATCAGATGAGTCAGCATCAATTATGTTTGCAGGATTTGAGCAATCCAATCCATGCCATGACCCACACATTGATGAGCAATTCAAACCACCTAGATTACATTAATTAAAATAACTTATAAAAGCCATTTTCAATCATTGCAAGTCAACTACTACAGGAATGTATTATTTTAGTAGAAATTTTTATGTTATTTTAATTGCTATTATCATTATATTTATTATTCATAAGACTACATTTACTTTTTTTACATTTGCAATTCTTAATGAATTAAGTTTATAAGTTTTAAAAAAAAATGGCATACAGTTCACAAGAAGCAAAAAATATTTTGGAGCTGGCTGTTGAAGGTTTGATGTAGGTAAGAGATTTGGTGTTAGCACTTTCCAACCCCATTCCAGTAGATCCAAGTTATGACCGACCCATTGCTGTACTTGATGGTAAACACAAAATGAACGCTTTGCTCTGGATATTGTTTGAGATATTACAGCTAAATCAAATGTTTTTTGAATTTTTTTTGATTTCTGCGAAGATATCGAAGTTTATCAAGTGAAATTGGCTTGGTTTTTGATCCACATAGTGCTTGGTAAAATTGTTCTCCAGCATGAGCAGGAAAACAATTTGATTTCTGGCGTGTTAAATACATTAATGACTTTGCATAAATCCACATTGTTAGGCAACAATTTGAAGGCTTTTTTTTTGCCTTGACTGTAAAGAAATGATGTTGAATCACATCCAGACATTGCTTATAAAAATAATAATTGCCTAGAGCAGTCACCAAGACCTTCTCTCAACTGTAAACTTTGTCTTGCTTAGTATCTTTACCAGGCTTTATCATTAAAATATCAGTAGTTGAATCTGTTATAGACACAAGTAATACTAGCAGATCTGTGTCTTCTCCTATAATTAAAATGTAACCATGTCTTGACAAATTAATTGCTGTATTGATAATTAGTGTATCCGCATCTCCTGGTGCCTGTTTAACATGAATTCCAGAGTCTGCAAGGTGCACTGATAAAGCTTTAATGAAGCTAGTTTTGTTACGAGGACTTGAAAGAAAATTTGCCGAAAAGTGCTGGAAGCCTCAGTGCCAACTCTTACTTAAAACATGCTGCAGGTTCTGATTTGACTGTACATTTTTTCGATTAAAGAGATGCAGAGTATTAATGATTACTTCTTTTCCATGAACCTTTACAGAAGCTGCCAAGGAACCCAAGAATAAAACTTTATTCATCCATTTTAAATAAATATTGGCAAAATTCATTCTTACCATTTCTAAGCATTTATACCAGTTTAAAATGCTCTATCACAGTAAATTTTATTATTGTCCACTTTACCATTGGAATGATAAATTAGTTCAAGTCTGATTGCACAAAATGATTCATTGGCGTTTATCCATCCAATAAAGTCTTCATTGATCTCATAAGTACCTGCTCTTTGGTCATGTCAGTCCAAATGCCGGCCCAAAATATATGCGTTTGTCAAATGGTGAAATACCCATTATTTGTAAATATTGAGTATTCTTCTGGAGACATTATAGTACACAAATAAGTACACAAGTAACTAGAAGTTTATGTTGCAACAATGACTTTATACACATGTGTTTGAAGCCGCAAAGGAATTACAGTTGAGATATAATGACTTATTAGCGTGCTGTGAACCGCAAGGGAATTGATATTTGAATGTCACAGGTGTCATTTGGTGTTACGGCTTAGGGTTTATTAGTGGAAATAAGGCAATTGCTTGGGCTATAAAACAGTGTACTGAGTACTATCTATGTTTCGAGTCAAGTTTTTTAACAAATTTAAAAATGAATAAAGTAACAAAAACTATAAAACACAAAAAACCACAGTCATCACCAAGTTCGCTAAACCTATCATTCACCAATATTCGTGGTCTTCGAAGTAACTATTCTTCTGTTGAGTCTTATCTCTTGCAAAGTTCACCAGACCTACTTGCTCTTTGTGAGACTAATTTGAGTTCAGCTGTCTCATCTTGTAATCTTAGTGTTGATGGTTACCTTCCTTTAATTCCTAAAGACTCCAATAGCCACATGCTTGGCCTAGGCATTTACATTCGTAAGAATTCACCCATTTGTCGGGAAACTAGGTTTGAATCCACAGACTACTCTTTTATGTGCTTTCGTTTAGCACCACTTCACTCTATCACCTTTTCCTTTTTTCTATATCGCTCTCCTTCATCTCAAGACTGCACTCTTCTTGATGTTATTTCTGATTATATTGACCAAGCCCTCATTCTTTATCCATCAGCCAATATTGTTGTTGTTGGTGACTTTAATGTTCATCACACTGAATGGCTTGGCTCTAGTGTCAGTGACTCTGCAGGCATTAAGGCCCACAAATTTTGCCTTTCTCAATCCCTAACTCAAACAGTCAACTTTCCAACTCGCTTTCCAGACAACCCAAATCATTTACTTCTCTACTCAACTTATGTCTTGTTTCTAATCCTAGTCAGTGCTCAGTTTCACCACACTCACCCTTAGGTGCTTCTGATCATGGTTTGGTCTCTCTAAAACTATCATCTCATTCTTCTTTACCATCAGAATCCCCCTATCATTGTACATCTTACAACTACCTTAAAGCTGACTGGGACTCTTTCTGTGATTTTCTTTGTGATGGCCCTTATATAGAAATCTTTCGTCTTTCTGTTGACAAATGTGCATCTTACATAACTTCATGGATTCAGGCTGGCATGAAATCCTTTATTCCCTCTTGATGATTCCAGGTCAAGCCTCACTCTTCTCCATGGTTTT